TTTTTTATTTTTCAATATAGCCATTTATAGCTATAAATTTCATTTTAAGAACGCTTTTAGGGGCCGGGGAGATGGCTCAGTGGAATAAGTGCTTCCCTTGCAAGTACAAGGGCCTGAGTTCAATCTACGGTTTTGCAAAAAAAAAAACTTTTAGCATCATCCCATGCATTTTGGTATGTTATATATTTTCATTAAGCTCAGAAATTGTCTGAATTTTGCTTTGATTTTTTTGACTCATTGGTTATTGATGAATGTGTTAATTTATTTCCACATATTTGTGAATTTCTCTTTTCTCAATGTTATCTTTTTTTATTTTACCCATTGTGACCAGATAAAATACTTCATATTATTTCTGACCTTTCAAATGTATTAAGTTTTGTTTCATAGACAATCACACGATTTCTGAGGATAAATAGGTCATTGTTAACCAGCTCTCATTGCAAAAAAGTCTTCTAAGGTGATTTCTTTTCTTCCCCACTATTTTTCAGATTGTTGTTATCATGAGAGGGCTGCCTGGCAGTGGAAAGACACATGTTGCGAAACTCATTCGTGTGAGTATAGGAAAGCTGGAAAAAAGCTTGCTTCTATTAGTGACTGTCATATTATTGATACATGTATCTGATTCATTTGATTGATTTTTTTTTTTTTTTTGTGGTACCAGGGATTGAACTCAGGACTGTATGCTTGCCAGGCAAGCGCTTATTCTACTGAGCTATCTCCCTGGGCCCACATTTGATTGATTTTAGTGAACTGCAGATCCACAGTAGATGTTGTCCTATATAATTCATGTTCTGTGTAGACAAATATTTTTCCCTCTGTTTGATTTGAACCTACAGAAAATTTGGTATGAATAATTATTGAATAATATCACACATTTTGGGCTGGGGAAATGGCTCAGTAGAATAAGCGCTTGCCCGGCAAGGGCCTGAGTTCAGTCCCTGGTTCTGCCCTCCACCTCAGAAAAATCACACCTTTCTTTTTTTTTTAAACTTTCTTAACTATTTGACTCTTAGGATAAGGAGGTAGAATTTGGAGGACCTGCACCCAGAGTTTTAAGCCTGGATGATTACTTTATCACTGAAGTAGAAAAGGAAGAAAAAGATCCAGATTCTGGAAAGAAAGTGAAAAAGAAGGTATAGTATTTTCCTTAGGTTATATACTGAATTTGATTCATTAGCAATATTTAAAGGCAAACATGTTTGGGTATTTAATTAAGTTAATTTAATTAAACGTGATGCACACGTGTAATTCAGGAGGCTGAGGCAGAAGGATCACCATGAATTTGAGGCCAGCCTGCACTACATAGTGAGACACTGGCTCAGAAAAACTCAGGGGAAGGAGAAAAAAGAAATTGGGCGGGAGAATAGCTCAGCAGCATAAGTGCCTGCCTGGCAAGCGTAAGTTCGATCCCCATTACCAGGGTTTGGGGTTTGGGTGGAGTGGGGTGGGGGGTGGGGAATAGGTCAAGAGAACATGTTGAGAGAGATGAAATTTTTTAATTGTAATACAGGCTGACAACCTCATGATCTTCCTGCCTTGGGCTCCCATTTATTGGGATTACAGTGATATGCCAACTCTCAAGGCTTGAGGTAGCATTCGGAAAACTAAAATTTTTTTCTGAACACAAACTTTGGTACTCGGGCTAACTAGGGAAAGAGTGTAAGAAGGTTCTTGCTTTGGGGCTGGCAAGATGGCTCAGTGGTCTAAAGCACCTACTTGGAACAAGCTTGGGAAAGCACAGGGACTGCGGTTCGATCCCCCAGCACCACATGCCAGCCAGCCCCGCCCCCTGGTAGGTTGAGCTGCCCCCCCCCAAAAAAAAAAATAAATGTTTAAAAAAAAAAAAAAAAAAAGAAGGTTCTTGCTTTAAGGGCAGATCTCTGGTGGGTGTTCTAGGTAATGGAGTATGAGTACGAAGCAGAGATGGAGGAGACATACCGCACTAGCATGTTCAAGACCTTCAAAAAGACTCTGGATGACGGCTTCTTCCCCTTCATCATTCTGGATGCAATCAATGACCGAGTGAGACATTTCGACCAGTTTTGGAGTGCAGCAAAAACCAAGGGGTTTGAGGTATACCATTATCCGGAACTTTTAAGCCCTTCCATTCTCATACAAGTTTTACATTTCTTTATCTAATCATTATTCATTGTTGCTTAGGTGTATTTGGCTGAAATGAGTGCAGATAACCAGACTTGTGGCAAGAGAAATATTCACGGAAGAAAGCTTAAAGAAATAAATAAGGTGATTTTTCAGAATTGTACAATGATACAGTACCCTAAACTTGATTTTCTCAGTCCCAGGACTGTTTATTCATTTTTCTTCTTATGTATTTGGTACAAAGCCTCCCTACACAGCTTGGACTTGTAGTGACCCTCCTGTTTTCAGCCTCCCAGTGCCAGAACTGTAGGTACCAGCATGGCAAGTGGTGCCAGGGACCAAGCCCCAGCCCTGCGCTTGCCTAAGGAGGTGCTTAGTCCACTGTCCGTCACTGATCCACCAGTGCTGTTGTCTGCAAGCTTTTCTGGTTTGTGCAGTTTTGAGAGTATCTTTTCTCTCTGCTGCTATAATTTTTTTTTTCCTTTGATAAAAATTAAAAGGATTTCCTAGCTCTTCCTGGACTGGCCTTCTAGACGTCGTAATATTAAATTTCATCTTAGATCCATTCTTGGTCTTTATTTGAGTAGATTACCATAACTTGTCCTCCTGAATCTTTCAATAGATGGCTGATCACTGGGAAACTGCACCTCGACATATGATGCGTCTAGACATTCGCTCCTTACTACAGGATGCTGCGATTGAAGAGGTAACAAGCACCTTTGGCTCAAGTGGCCCAGAGGGAGCCCTGGGATTGACCCGGGAATCTCAGTCCTTGTTTAGTTTGATGCATTCTCTCTATATTGCTAATGAGAGTTGGCCCCAACTGGGCGGTGCTCCTGCCTCAGCTCCCTGGGTAGCTGGAATTAGAGGTGTGTGCTGCTGTATACGTAGGGGGTACATGCTCATTATTATTGTCATTATTATGATGCTGTGTTTAGTCCAGGGTCTCCAGGGTCTCACTACGTAGCTCGTACTTGCAGTGACTTTCCTGTTTTCAGCCTCCCCAGTGCTGGGTTACCGGCGCGTGCTACCGTGCCCGGTCTTGTGTATTTATTATTAATGTTCGGGTTGGCACGATTATTACGGAAGTGCCAGAGAGTTCGGTTGCAGGCCACACAGCACGTTACTCCAGTAGGTGTCTTCTAAGCACAAGGACAGTCTCTTATAAACCAATTAAATATCAAAATGAAGAAATTTAGGGGCTGGAGAGATGGCTCAGTGGTCTAAGGCACCTACTTAGAACAAGCTTGGCAAAGCATCAGGGACCACGGTTCAATCCCCCAGCACCGGGCTGGAGAGATGGCTAAGTGGTCTAAAGCACCTACTTGGAACTAGCTTGGCAAAGCATCAGGGACTGCGGTTCAATCCCCCAGCACCACATGCCAGCCAGCCCCGCCCCCTGGTGGGCTGAGCTGGCCACACACACCTCTC